TGAAGGATCGCAAGCAGAGGTTCGAGTCCAAGAAACGAAAGTTAGAGGATTGCTTTGGCCAGGGAGCATGGGAAGATTCTGTTGAGGGTCTCCAGTGTACTATCCTGCAGAGAGATTTGCTTGTTGAGGGTTACTCACTCGTCCTGATCACCCCGAGACTATAGAGTTGCTAGAGGAGTTTCGTGTCTGCGATCGCACTTGATTATCTTTGTAGCTCTTTGCCTTTTTGATTCTCGTTGTAGGCTGACCATCACCAGGCTTGTTGATTGAGGTCATGCTATTGATTCCCATTGTATTCATTGACTTTGTACTACTGCCTTGTGGGCCTTATCTATATATGAGATGTTATTCCAGTGGTTAGACCCGGACTTCTTGTTATCAGCACTTGCACTCCGACACTCGAATCGGGAGAAAATCTCCCTAACACACAGACACACATTTGCATTTGCGTAAATCATTTGCATAGTAGGTACCTTGTACTGTTCTCTTAACTCTCTGTTGATGCAGGTTCCAGGATTGTTGACCAGCGAATTCATCGCTATCCTACCAGAAGCAACTGTAAGAAAGTCATGGACCAGATGCAGACTGAGATGCAGGAGATGCGTGACCGTATGGCACAGTTCATGAAGGTGATGGAGACTGTGGCTAAGGGACAGGAGCAGCTGCAAACTCTGGTGCAGCCTCTAATTGTTAGGGTTGATAGTCAGGGTGTGCTACATGGCGGTTTTGCTAATCATCCTTCTCAAGTCGGGACTCTGCAAGCAGATGACACGGTGCTAGTGGTTGTCCTCAATACGACTGAGAATGATAACAGAGCTGAGAATATGGATGTGACGAGGAATGCTGGTTTCAATGTTGGCACTGGAAATGCTGGTCTCGGTGCTGGGAATACTGGTATGGGTATTGGTATTGGCAACGTTGGTTTTGGTGGTAATCAAAGCTATGGCAATCAAGGTTACAGAAATACGGGTTACGGTAATCAGGGCTTCGGTAATGCAGGCTTCGGCATTGCAAGCCATAATGGTATGGGAATGGGCGTTCATAATACTGGTTTTGGGCCAGGCACTGGAAATAAAGGTTTCGGTAATATGGGATACGGTCATAGGATTAATCAGACTGGTTTTGGTCCTCATACTGCTTATGCTGAATATGGTAATGAGGATTCTCACTGGGGTGAAGATCGCCAGGAGGATGCTTTCCCTCCTCCAGGCAGGGATATTGAGGCGCCCGCTGATAATGATAGAAGGTTCAGGTTTGTTTGAAGAACAGATGAGGAATCTTACTAATCAGAATGCCACGGGGCTGGATGTGGCTAACATGGGATTGGTCCCTGGCTTGAGGGTACCAATCAAATTCAAAGCGCCCACATTTGACAAGTATAAAGGGGATACTTGCCCGAGAGTTCACGTGCAATCTTGCTATCGGAGAATGTCCGCCTACTCTGATGACGAAAAGATGCTGATGCATTTTTTCCAAGACAGCTTGCCAGGACCGTCATTGGAATGGTACATGAGGTTAGAGCCTGCTCAAACTGGTAGCTGGAAGGAACTAGCAGAAGCTTTTGTCAAGCATTACCAATACAACAGCGACCTTGCGCCGAACAGGGTCCAGCTCCAAAATCTCTCTCGGAAGAATAACGAGAGTTTCAAAGAATAAGCCCAGAGGTGGCGTGAGCTAGCTGCCAGGGTGCACCCACCTATGGTAGAGCGGGAGTTAGTAGATATGTTTGTGGGCACTTTCTCTGGGTTGTACTATGACAGACTCATTAATTGTACGACGACTAATTTTTCCGAGTTGATACTCTTGGGGGAACGTATCGAGAATGGTGTTAAGATTGGTAAGATTCAAGCGGGTGAGTCAACCTCAGCTAGAGGTGGTAAGAAGGCTTTTGGGAACTAGAGACAGGGAGATACCAACACAGTATATAGTGATCGGAGAAGGGATAGAAGTTGAGATTGGCATAGGCAGCAGATCATTGGTGTGACAATTCCTGTACCTCAACAGCAACAACAATAGCCACACCAGCAACAGGGACGACAGGATGCTGCTCCATAGAGATATCAAGGTCGGGATAGGGCTGTGAAAAGAGTTTTTGAAGCGTCTCCGCTACCTTATGCTCAGCTTCTTCCAACCTTGTTACAATTGCAGCTTGTTGAGAAAAGGACGCTAGCTCCGCCGAAGGGCACGCCTCCTTACGGGTATGACGTTAATTCACATTACGACTTCCTCTCCGGGGCACCCGGTCATACCATCGAGAATTGTCAAGTGTTCAAGCACAGGGTGCAAGATTTGATAGATAGCAAAGCTATAAAATTTGGTGACGAAGTGCCCAATATTGAGAAGAACCCTATGCCGCCTCATGGAACTGCAAAGGTAGGTGTTGTGTTGGAGGATGTTAGTCTGAATCTGATTATGAATGTGGACGAATTGAAAACGCCTTTGGGTTATATCAAAAGCAGATTGCTGAAAGGGGGGTGTTCCCTGGTTGTGACGTTGATTGCGTTGATTGCTTGGCCCAGCCTGAGGGTTGTAATAACTTGAGAAGAGGTATTCAAAGAATGATCGACGAAGGTACGCTTCAATTTAACCGCACTGCTGAAGAAAAGCCTGTGGAGGCAAAAGTTGAGAAGCAGGGTGAAGTCGCAATGATTACAATACCGTTCGAAACTGTCACGATATTGGCACCTCCCAAGAGGCCGACTATCACAATTACCAAAGTTGGACCTATTCCGTATGAGAGTACTAAAGTCATCCCCTGGAATTATGGGGCGGAAGTATATTGCAACGGGGAGAAGATTAACTTGTCGAGCCCGCCTATAGGATCCGTTGATAATCTTGAGGGGGCAGGGGGCATAACTCGCAGTGGCAGAATCTTTACGTTGCCAGAAGTAGAAGCTGAGAGAATTGCAAAGGGGAAAGGTAAGGTCAATGAGGAAGGACCGTCGCAGGAGAAAGAAAAAGAGGCTTTGACCAAAGATGTAGAAGAATTCATGAGGTTAATTCGGAAGAGCGATTATAAAATTGTCGATCATCTGCAGCAGACGCCTTCCAAAATATCAATCTTGTCATTGCTGCTTTGTTTCAAGGCTCACCGGAACGCGTTGTTGAAAGCTCTTGACGCTGTCTATGTACCCCATGAGATATCCGTGAATCAACTCGAAGGAGTGATTGCGCACGTGAATGCGGGGCATGGCCTTGGCTTTACTGCTTTGATTTGACGCCCAGGGGCCGCAATCATAATAGTGTGTTGCATATTTATGTCGAGTGTAGGGGCACTGTTATGTCCCACGTCCTTGTTGACACTGGTTCATCCTTAAATGTCTTGCCCAAGAAAGCATTGCTGAAGCTAGATACCCGAGGAGTAATCTGCACGCCAAGTGATTTAGTGGTGAGAGCGTTTGACGGGACGAGACGGTCTGTATTTGGAGAATTGACTTTGCCAATCCAGGTCGGTCCAGAAGTGTTTGACACTGTGTTTTACGTCATGGACATACAGCCAGCTTATAGTTGTTTGCTTGGACGACCGTCGATCCATGTTGCAGGGGGCTGTGACATCGACGTTGCACCAAAAGCTTAAGTATGCGGTCGGTGGGAGTATTGTCACTATATGTGGGGAGGAAGACATTCTGGTCAGTCACCTGTCATCGTTTAAGTATGTCGAAGTGGATGGTAAGGTCCAAGAAACATTGTGTCAGACCTTTGAAGGAGTGCAGATCAATGACAAATCTCCTGTCATCAGCAAGGGACCGGAAGTGGCTATGTCGTCGTACAGGAAAGCCCAAGCGGTGGTGCAAGCCGGTGAGGTTAAAGGTTGGGGTCGAGTTTTAGAGATTCCTGTTAAGCAAGACAAGTTCGGCTTAGGGTATTACCCGTCATCATCATCTTCTCAGGGCAAGCCGGGATTCAAAAGGCCGATTGTGTTCACTCCGGGAGGAGTCAGTTTTGAACAGATCTACGTTGTGTCTGACAGTGAAGAGGGCGATAGCGACTGTGACATGGAGTCGTGGATCAAGCCCAGCGAGGCAGGACAGAGCCTATGCAACTGGTCTATCCAGGACTTTATTCAAGTGACGCCGAAACAGTAATGCCTTGTTTTTCAATTATTGTACAATCCTGTGTCCTACCCGGGGCATAGTGATTTTATTTCAGGGCCTACTTGCTTATGTGTATGCTTTGTTTTAATCATCAAATAAAGGCGTTTTCCCCATGCAAACTTTGTGATCCCTGTTTTTCTGTTTTTTATTTTTACAATAAAATGGCAATGTGGTCATGTGCTTCGTTTGCATATCATTTGAAGCATTTAACCCTTTCTCTTGCAGGATCCATATTGCAGATGACACCGATCAAGATCTCCCTATGACTCGCTTCGTCTTTGAGCACCCGATATTTCAAGCCGAAGAAGAGATTGCTGAGGATAACGACTTACCAGAAGAGCTGACTCGTCTGTTGAAACAAGAAGAGAGAATCAATTTGCCTCATCAAGAGGATATCGAGATCATTAATTTGGGTTCAAAATACAAGATGAAAAGTGTGCAATTTCCACTGCTACTTGACATCTGTATGCACCTTCTTCAAATTACTAATCATTCACTTTCAAGGATTCCATTAAAATTTCAACATATGTCACGAAAGGTACTCATGAAGCCAAGCACTTTAAAATTTTAATTTATGGGGCATCCACATGAGTTACAGTTATTGGACAAACAAAGCATGGGATGATAATCAGTTATTTATTTTAATGAAAGAAAACTATGGACTGAAGAGAAAAATAAATAAATAAATAATCAAGGATTAACATTAATTAGACGAAGAAGCTGCAAACAATACATTTGAAAAGTTGAACTGCTTCCTTATAGGTAGTAGATCAGTAGTGTTTTCATCTGTTAACAATGTTCCTAAAACATGCACTAGATTCAATAGTAATTAAGCTTCATTAATTCAAAAGAACAAAAACTCTTGGTGTTTGAATTGATTGTAGTGATGAATTCCATTGGCTTTCTCTAGGAAGATTCTGCATAAAATGGAAGAATAATTGGTAATTAGTAATAATGAAAAAGAGAAGCGATTCGAAATGAAAACTAAACATCAATCAATCTTACTTGCAGATGTTGAACAAATTGTGGTGACTTCATTTGTTTTTCTAAAGATGTGAACTTGAAAAGTGATCTTAGTTCTAAGAATGAGCTCAAAGTTGCAAGCATCTCCAACTTTCAAGTCATTGTCTTTAACAAAGTTCCTCCATTCCCTTGAGAGCTCAAACCTTATTCCTGTAGTGGACATCCTGATTGTGTACCTTACAGACCAAACTCTTGCATTATCCAACACTTGAAAATAAATATCTCCTCTTTTCTTATCCAAATCAAAGTGTCTCTTACCAAATTTAATTGGTAAACTCTGTCAAGTAAAAGAAAGGAATATGTTAATGAATAGAAAAAAAAAAGACTTGTAAATTATTTAAATTTAAGGACTGGGTTACATGTTTTGTTTGTATCCTAACTATATTTGTGATTGTGAAGACCCATCTTAAAATTATTTGCAAGTGTTTCTTTGCAACTTACCAAACGAAAATGGTGTTCAACGTATGATGCACGCATGACACGAACAAAGGATGGATTACATGTTTTGAACAATTTTGCTCTTTCAATAGTATTCACATGTTTTCCTGCAAAATTGGAAATAAATAATGCAAGGATAGAAAACTTTTTACTAGAGTTAACAAAATAAATTGAAGAGAACAAGAGCTAATAAATTATGTTAACTTGTGAATCTTTCATGAGACGATGAAGTTAAAAAAATCTTATACCTGTGTTCATTTCGTGAGTTTGATCCACAACTTCCTTGTTGACTTCAACTATTTTGAGAGGGTACTTTATCTCTAAATCACTCTTATCAAAGATTTGTACCTCAAAATGGGAAGTTCCTTCATATCTGAAAACTAGAAGATGGCCATGAGATAGAGAATGAAACTCTGCAAACTCTTTCCAACCCTTTTCTAACCATATTTTCCCATCATTTTTCGCCAAATTTATTTTCCAATCTGCACCATGGGGAGTCTTGAGACAAATAGCCGGTGGTAAACCTTCTCCATAATTGTTCACAAACTTTACTGGTATCATCTGTCAAAACAAAAAGTATTTCTAATAACATGATGGTGATGAACTGATGATGATGATGATGATGTTATAAAGATATAATTAAAGAAACATAAAGTATTAATATGAAGAAAGAATCTAAATAAGAGACTTACAAGCTTTCCTTGATCAAGACTTTCACTAACTATTATCTTGAAAAAGTGAACCGGAGAAAATTCACTTGCCATGATCTTTGTTTGATAAAAGTATAAAACTTTATGAGTTAGTAGTAGTATGCATTGAAATTTAGATAGCAATGAAAACAAATTACAAAGTATTTTTTTATTTTTTCCATAAAACTTTTCATTACCCTATGTCTGCTTGCTTTTATTACCCTTTGTCTGCCTTTATTTAATTTTTCATTCGATCACAACTCAAAGCTTCTTGGAATTATAAACGGTCAATGTGTTTATTTGGAGTATATTTATTCAACTTTTTAAAAATAATTACTCTATTTTTTTTGGATACTTGAAGGAAAAAAAATACCATCCAATAGGCTGCTCCCTAATAGAAATTGAAAACTTGTTTTCTACTCCTTTTCGTTTTTTTTTCTAAATTACTATTGTTTAAAGTTTTTTATACAAATTCTGAAAATTCTCAACCGTTATCAAGCTTCTTCAAGTCAAATGATCAATTTTGAAAAGTCTGAAGCCTCCTTTAATCGAAATGTGCCATATGTTGTCATAAATATGATTCATAGTAGTATGTGAGTTAAGGCTGTTCAATTTCACTTGGGATATTTAGGTCTATCAGTTCTTTTTGGTAGATCTAAAAAAGAAGTTTTCTCTTTCGTGATTGATCGTGTCTGGAAGAAGTTGAATTTTGTCTAGGGCTGGAAAAGAGGTGCTCATTAAAGTTGTTGCCCAAACTATTCCTTCGTATATCATGAGTTGTTTCAGGTTACGGGATGGTGTGTACAAGGTCATAGAAAGTATGATGTTCAAATTCCGGTGAGGATCTAGAGAACAAGATAGGAACCTACATTGGGTTAGTTGGAAGAAGCTTATTGTGGCTAAAAGGGGCAGGGGTTAAGGCCAAATAGTGATTTTCGCAAAACAGTGGGGATCGAAACGCCTCATTCTCTGGAAAAACTCCTCCATAAGGCCCAAGCTTACATCCAATATGAGGAAAAAGAAGTATCTTACAAAGCCCGAGATTCGAGGAACCAAGAGAATTCCAAGGCGTCAAAAAAGGATGAGGCAGAAGCTCCCCGGCGCGACAAAGAAAAATGATGATATGGTCGTCCCCGTGAACATACACTAGTGGAAAAATACTTTCTTAGCAGATGTTTTTAAGTCAGTTCATCAATAACCCGACTTAAGAAACCACACGGTGGCAAATCCGTAAATATTTAAAACTTTGTTATGTCGGGTCTATGTTTAACCGACCTACAAAGATTAAATAAATAAAAATATATTTTTCATTAAATTTCTTAAGTCGGTTCTTTTACTGAAATGACTTAAGAAATTTATTTATTAAGTCAGGTGTTTATTACCTGACCTAAGAAGGTCTTACAAGACTCCGGTTCGATTCTTACATAATACATTCTAGTGAAATAAACATTATTTAATACTTAGTTAATAAATTTTAATTAAAATAATTTCTGATAACACAGTGACCTTTCTCTTTCTCTTTCTGCGCGCAGCTTTCTTCTCTAAGTTTTTGATACCGCGAAAATTTTCACCACAACTTCTTGTTCTCTCAATCTTTCACCACAACTTCCGTTTTCATATTTGACCATTCTCTCAATCTTTCACCAATCGCCACTGTCACCATACTCACTTTCTCCAGGTTCTTTCTTCTCTATGCGTTTTGAAATGTTAGGTTTTGAATTTTTAATGAATACATTGTAAAGAGTATTTCGTGTTTTCAAATTTGAAGCAGGTACTTGTGAAAAAATTGTTGGAGGTTTTGGTGATACTAGCAAAGGCTTTGAATTCTGCAGATTAGGTATGTTTTCATGATTATTCATGTATGGTGGTTCAGTTTCTTTGAATGTTTGATGGAGTATTGATGAAATGTTGTTGTTAAATTGAAGATGGAATTGATTTGAATTTTAGTTTGGATAGGTTTTCTAACTGGTATAGTTTTTCCTCTATTCTGCTGCTTGAGTTTTGATAGTGTTTCTAACTGGTATAGTTTGGATAGTTTGGATAGTGTTTCTAACTGCTGCCTAGGATTTGACTGGCCCTTAAATATAGCCAGAGCATTAATATTATAAATGAATCTCTGATTCACTCACTCACCCATTGATATTCATCTCTTATAATACCTAACAAAATTGAATGTGTTTGAATTCAGTTTGTTTCAGTCTGCTCCAATCCAATGGAGTTAGAAAAATAATTGAAATCTGCATTACCCCATGTGTATCTGAGAAACAATCAAGGCATTCCTTTTAGAATTTTCTTCCATAATGAGAAGCTGAAATTGTAAATCTAATTAGAAACTTAAGGTAGAAGAACTTATTAAGCAGCCAAAACACAAATCTCCAAACAAACATCAGAAACATCAAACTACTAAATATTTTGTTGATATACCCGAGAACTTTACCGTGTACCTGTGATTTTGTGTATTCGTTGTTTACTTGATTTCTTACAAGTGGAAGTGTGGGTTGTGCTTAAAGATAGATTAGGATAAAGCTCATCTTGTCTACTTTTTCAGAGAAATTGGTTTATTTATTTTTCATTGAATTGATAAAGGGATAATTTTACTGCAGTTTCCTTTTTTTTGGCGCTCATTGATAAAGGGATAAACTATTTATTTTGTATTTGAATATTTTATGACATACTTATTTTAATTAGTTATACTTGTAGATGTTAAACATTTGTTCTTGTTTCATGTTATCAATCAGTTACTATGAGGGTCTCCAAAAGTGTGTTGGTTTGTATTTAGAAGATGGGAAGTACTCTGCTGATCAAATAGATCAGTTAGTTTCATTGTATGAAACACTTGGGCAACAATATAAGTGGTCTTCTGCAGTAAAGGTAATATTGTTTGTTGTTGTTATTGCTAATATCTTTCCTTAGAAGTTTAACAATCATCAATAGTATTTGGCTGTATTACCCATGCAAGACATTTAAAGTACATGCTTTTCCTGTGGAAATGATTTTTCTAATATGTCAGATCATTACTGTGTTTCTGATAGTGTTTTTGGAGGCAGGTATTTCATTGTTTTATGCTTGGTTTTAAATGTTGCCAAAACTTGAATCAAATACCCGTGAGCCTAATATGTGTGGTCATAATGTCTTAAATTTGTGTTTTCAATAACTTTGGAGATTTAAAATATAGGGATATTGAATTACAACAATTTAATTATTTTCATTGCAAAATCATTTGTTTGGATTTTTATCCTTACACATACTGTTGAATAATTGGAAGTTGCTAAATATTCTGAATGCAAATTTCTCCTGGTCCTCATCACAGATGAATCTCAATATGAACTCTGTTTAGGGAACTCTGAATGTATAAGCTTATATTTAGGGAGTTGTTTGTTTGAGGTCATCCAAACTGCCTCTGAATGGTACAATTTCGATTATAGGAAACAATTTAGGGAGGATTTCACAAAACTATTGTGTGGGTATTTTGCAGTCTTAAACACGCCATTGCAGCCTACGGTGCCGCCATGGTGGGCATTGCATCACAAGTCGGTTACGGCGGTTGTGAACAAATCCGCCTTGCCATTTTGCCATTTAATAAAACTGGTATTTTGAATACTTCAATTTTAGTAATGTAGTTCTTGATAAAATTACTCCAGAAGACCTTTTCGATGTTGTCATCAGGCTCGCTGGATGTTAAACCATGCCACAGTCCAAGGGAGTCTATTGAAATAGATTAATATATATATATAGGACTCAAATGGATTTAGCTGATGATTTTTTTGTTTAGGAATTGGTAGAATCTAGGAATATGAAGGAGGGCAGTGCAACCTATTTACGCAGCGACAGTTCTAATAATAAAGTAGAAACAGTTATTTTTAAAGTTAGTAAAAATCATGGATAGATTATTGTATAAATCAATGGTCCAAATACATTACTGTATTTCTTGAAATCAACTTGACCACTACTGTCCTGTATTGTGACAGTATTAGGTGGCCAGCTTGAGTTACAAGCATCCATTAGACCCGTTCCTTGTATTCTAAGGAATGTATTATTTAAAGGGATTGAGATTTGGAAGTGAATCTTATGGGATGACTCAACCAAGATCTTCGTTGTTGTAAGAAAGACACTACTGTCATGGCAACTTGAAGTACTGTTATTCAAGATAACATTTTGACATCATGCCGTGTTTAGTTGCCTTTTGAAAAAGATGTTACAAAAACATCCCAATAAGTTTTTTCAAAAGTTCTTAAAAGAAATCATCGAATGGATCGTAGTTGCATCCTAGGAGCCCTGTCAGCAAGCTCACTTATTTTTGGTTGTACCTTACTTCTTTCCATTTTTTTCTTTTTCAGAAATAGTCATGGATCGTAGTTGGATGAAAGCTAATCATTTAGGTGCAGAATACGATAAAGGAATGGAAGCATTTTTTCAATATGCTCGTGAAAAAATTCCTAATAATAATAAGTTTTATTGTCCATGTGTTAATTGTTTGAATATAGAGCCGCCACTTTTAATAGATGAAATAAGAAATTATCTTGTTTGTGAGGGAATTTACCAAAGTTATACCAATTGGATATGGCACGGTGAACCGTCAAACAATACGTCAAGTGTGTCGGAAAGAGAGGTAGTTGATGTAGATATGGACAATCGGCTAGAGGACATGATCAATGCTATTGGACCCGAGTCTTTTCAGCATGCTCATATGTACGATACTTTGTGCAGTGACAATGAAGAGTCATTGTATTCGGGATGCACTAACTTCACACGGTTATATGCGGTGTTGAGATTGTTCAACTTGAAGGCAAGAAATGGATGGACGGATAAATGTTTTACCGAACTACTTGAGTTGTTGTGTGAAATGCTTCCTGAAGGAAATAGATTGCCAAATCGTAATTACGAGGCAAAAAAGATATTGTGTCCGATGGGTATGGAGTACAAGAAAATACACGCATGTCCTAATGGTTGCATATTATACCGAAATGAGTATGAAGAGTTGAAGGAGTGTCCCACATGCGGGCAATCACGTTTCAAAGTGAAAGATGGTGATTTGAATAGTGATGAAAACACAAAGCATCTTCCTGCAAAGGTGT